CCGAGGGGGGGGGGGGCTGCCTGTTTGCCGCCGGTTGGAAGCACTCCCCTTGGGTCGATCAGGGGCTTTGCAATATCCCTGCAACCAGCAAGGTCTTGTCTTCCCAGTCACCATCTCTTCGGGACGGTTTAGGTCCTGCCGGACCGTCGAGGGGCAAAAGTGTCATCGGCAGATTCGGACAGCCGAATCCAAACAATGTATTGTTGCGACGTTGGCTCCTTCCATCCGAGAGCACCCTGTTTTGAGTGACAACTTCCAACTTCTGCATGTTGTCATTCCCACTGTGGGCCAGATGTGCAGCAGCAGAATTGCCCCCCATAAGAAATCTGGAAGTCTGGGCATAACAAGTCATGCCTTCCAGATGTGTTGGCCATCATGGTTTTACATTCTGGGAGTTGTTAAGCCAAGGTTTGGGGCAGATCTAAGGATTATTAAGGACATCTGTAATGTGCTCTGAACGTTTATTACTGAAGCCGATCGGCAAGGCAAGCTAACCTTCCCATTAGAATTGCATGAATGAAAGCGAAGTCTGCCTTCCAAGCCACAGAAACAGAAACCCATCATTTCTACTCTAGAACAAAGAGAGCTAAGCACATGGAGGCTGTGGGCAGCTTGTATTACTTGCTGGTGTAGCTCTCAGAAAAATCCAGGTCCCTGGGAGATTTGCATAGTCCTCGACTCACTACAATTCATTTATTGACCATTCAAAATTACAGCAGCAATGAAAAAATTAAGTCATGGCCATTTTTCACACTTATGATCACTGCAGCATCACCATGGTCACCTGATCAAAATTCAGATCTATAGCCACTGATTCATAATTAATCGTTGCAGGGTCTTGAGGTCATGTGATCACCTTTTGAGACCTTCTGTCAAGCAATCAATGGGGAATCCAGATTCACTTCACAAACGTGTAAGTAGAAATTAGCACTTACCATATTTTTCAGAGTATAAGACGCACCTTTTTCCTCAAAAAAGAGGCTGAAAATCTGAGTGCGTCTTATACACCGAATACAGCATTTTTGCCTCCTGAAGCCCTGTCCCTTCACCAAAATGGCTGTGCATAGCCTTATGGAGGCTTCCAGAGAGCTCCTGGGAGCTGGGGAGGGCAGAAATGAGCAAAGAACCAGCTGTTTTTTGCCCCCCCAGCCCCCGGCAGCACTCTATAAGCCTCCATAAGGCTATGCATGCAATTTTTTTGACGATAAATGGGCCTGTTTTTGGGCCCCCTCATCCCTAAGGAACACTCTGCAAGCCCCCCCCCCCAAGGCTATTCATGCCTTTTTTTGGAAAAAAAAGGGCTGTTTTGGGGAGGTTTTGGGAGGTTTGTAGAGTGCAAAACCCTTTTCCCCCCCTTTTGGAAAGCTCTTTAACTGATTGATGAGAATTAGATTGATCAAGTGCTGTGCCAGCAGAAACAGTCTTAGGTGCTGCAGATTGTCAGCGATTTCCTTCTCCAGCAAATGGATAAATATACCTGGAAACATCTACCTATCTACCTACTCTCTCTCTCTCTCTCTCTCTCCCTATTTACTGTGTTTCTCTATCCCTCTCCATCTACCCATGTACCTACCTACTCTCCCTCTCCCCCTACCTATCTACTGTATTTCTCTCCATATTTCTCTCTCTCTATCCCTCTACCTACCTACCTATTCTCTCTCCCCCTGCCTACCTACTATATTTCTCTCTCTTTCTCTCCCTCTCTATCCCTCTACCTACCTACCTACTTTTTTTAAAAAAATTGCCTCTTCAAAACCTTGGTGCGTCTTATACTCCAGTGCATCTTATACTCTGAAAAATATGGTAACTGCAGTGATTCAACTGTGGCAAGAAAGGTCATAAAATGGGACATAATTCACTTAACAAATGTTTTACTTAGCCACAGAGATTTTGGGCTCAATTGTGGTCATAGGTTGAGAACTATCGGTAAATTAGAAGTGACGGAATTCAAATTTAAATTATGCTACACAACAACATACCATATTTTTCGGAGTATAAGACACACCTTAGTTTTTGGGGAGGAAAATAGGAAAAGAAATCTGCCTACCAGATATTCATCTGGCTAGCATCCTCAGTCTGGTCAGCTTCAGCATATAAATTTGCTGGTTTTGAGTGTGCACACTTTTTATTCCCTGGGCTATGTATTCCAAATGAGGCCACACTGATTAACAATCACAATCATTACAAACAATCATTATTGAGGGCAAGTGAGAAGTCTATTTGGACCAAAAAGGAGTACACTTCCCTATCTAAACTCTATCTAAAATCATCCACCAGCATGATCGATGCTATTTCTATTCTGGAAACTTGGAGCAGTAATACTAGCAAATTATCTGCTACACAGAAAAGTTGAAGGGCATTGTCAGCATTTCTTCATTCAATAATCAGGAAAGAAAACCACTGGACTCCATTTGTTGAAATCAAGTGTACTTTTACTAATTATAAATGAA